AAGAAAGGCTGGAAAGAGCATCCGGGAAACTACAGGCCTGTCAGCCTGACCTCAGTGCCCAGCAAGGTGATGGAGCAGATCATCTTGAGTGCAATCACACAGCACCTACAGGACAGTCAGGGGATCAGACCCAGCCAGCATGGGTTTAGGAGGGGCAGGTCCTGCCTGACCAACCTGATCTCCTTTTATGACCAGGTGACCCGCCTGGTGGATGAGGGGAAGGCTGTGAATGTGTCTACCTGGACTTCAGCAAAGCCTTTGACACTGTCTCCCACAGAACACTCCTGAAAAAGCTGGCAGCCCACAGCTTGGACAGGGGCCCTCTGTGCTGGGTTAGGAACTGGCTGGAGGGCCGAGCCCAGAGTGGTGCTGAATGGTGCTGCATCAAGTTGGCGGCCGGTCACCAATGGTGTCCCCCAGGGATCAATGTTGGGCCCAGTCCTGTTTAATATCTTTATTGATGATCTGCATGAGGGGATTGAGTCCATCATTAGCAAATTTGCAGATGACAAAGTTGGAGGCGAGTGTCAAGCTGCTGGAGGGTAGGAGGGCTCTGCAGAGGCACCTGGGCAGGCTGGATAAATGGGCTTAATCCAGCGATACGAGGTTCAACAAGGCCAAGTGCCAGGTCCTGCACTTTGGTCACAACAACCCCCTGCAGCGCTACAGGCTGGGCACAGAGTGGCTGGAGAGCAGCCAGGCAGAAAGGGACCTGGGAGTTTGGATTGACAGGAAGCTGAACGGGAGCCAGCAGTGTGCCCAGGTGGCCAAGAAGGCCAATGGCATCCTGGCCTGGATCAGGAACAGTGTGGCCAGCAGGACCAGGGAAGTGATTCTTCCCCTGGACTCAGCACTGGTGAGGCCACACCTTGAGTACTGTGTCCACTTCTGGGCCCCTCAGTTTAGGAAGGATATTGAGGTGCTTGAGTGTGTCCAAAGAAAGGCAATGGGGTTGGTGAAGGGACTGGAGCAGAAGTCCTATGAGGAGGGGCTGAGGGAGCTGGGGTTGTTTAGCCTAGAGAAGAGAAGGCTAAGGGGAGACCTCATCACTCTACAACTACCTGAAAGAAGTCGGTCTCTTCTCCCAGGCAAAGTAGGAAAAGAAGGCACAGTCTTAAGCTGCATCTGGGAGATTTAGGTTAGACATTTTGTTCACAGAAGGAGTGATTTGGCATTGGAATGGGCTGCCCAGGAAAGTGGTGGATTCTCTGTCCCTGGAGGTGTTTAAGAAAAGACTGAACGCAGCCAGTCTCAAGTGCCATGGTCTAGTTGACAAGGTGGTGTTCGGTCATAGGTTGGACTCATGATCTCAGAGGTGTTTTCCAACCTAGTTGATTCTGTGATTCTGTTGGATGGTAGAAAGGATGCGGTTGCACAATTACGCTGTGAGACGTGGGAGGCAGTGTCATTTTGTCTGGTGCTAAGAGTCCTAAAGCCTGTGTGTTAATCAGTGCTTGCCAAAAGAGAAGGGAAAGCTGGAAAAACGAGGGTGCATAGGAAGGAAGAACATGGCAGATAAGCCCAGAACAAAGTAAATGAAATAGGAAAAAGAAGACGGGGGACCGTAGAGGTGATCTGTCTAAGCATGTCAGCTTAGCTCAGCTCTCAGCTTTGGCCAGTGTCTGATAGAAAAAGGGACTTCAGATGCATTGCCTTTATAGATATCTGAATTTCCTGTTTTAGGAATTTTAGACAATTCAGTGATGTTTTGTAGGACATCCTGACTTTAAACTGATATATCAAAGCAACTTCCTTCTTCTTTCTGATCTCTGTACAGCACCTGAGCAGGAAGGACAATACTAAGCAACGTAAGTACAGTGAGGGAACTAAATGCACAACTTCATGCACTGCCTTTCATGTTTAGCAGGTGTGGTGCTGCATCTGTGATGCAGGACAGCAAATTTCCAGCAACTCTAATACATCAGCATAATTCCTTCTTTGGATGTGTACTAACTCTGTCTTTTGAATGGAAGAAGATATGTGTGAAAGAAATCAGTTTTTAAATTATTACTTGCTTTCCTAATGGCATTTTGGAGAACACTTTCTTCTTGTTCTTTCAATTCTCCTTTAACTTTTTTGGAGAGATTTAGTTATAGCCCAATAATGCAATTGGCAGAACACATTGGGCGCCTTATTGTTCAAATTGGAGTATAAATGTTTTAAAAGAGAATTTCCATTTTCTTCCCGAATAACTTTTTTTAAAAGGCCAGTATTTAGAGTAGCAGTTGAAGAGTACTCTGTAATCTGCCATGGTAGCAGCTACATTGTATTTTATTTCACTTTTGACACTGATATTTGGCATTTGTAGGACTTGAGAGGTAATCGTATTTAAGGAATTCTAGCTTTTAAAATTTTAAATTTTTTTTTATTGGTACTGACCAGGAATATGTTAGTCATGTTCATTGCTACTTTTGCAGTATTGCAGAGTTAAGTGTCATTAGTGTTTGTTTGGTTGTTTGTTTTTAAGACAAAACATTTCTGAATAGATTTTCCCACTTATATATCTTATTTCAGTAGAAGTATGAATTCTTGCTGGATGATATTTTTGCCTGATTTTCATTTTCTGTACTTCCTGAACTGTTTTGAGGTACGTTGGAAGGACACTGTGGTAATAGGAAAGTTGCAAAAAAATTCTTATTCCTTTCATGGCTGCTATTAAAAGTGAAAATATATCTTATTTTAACACTCTTTTAAAGTAATCTAAAGCATGTGATAAAACACATCAAGAAATGAGGATTCACAGGAGCAGGGTGGCCATCTGTAACTTGGTCTCTTTGTCTCAGAAGTGCAATTTAATGGCACTGTGAATTAATGTGCTAGACTTACGACCTGAATAAAAGTCTTATAAACATCTCTTTAAAGGTATGAAAAAGGGAAAAAAAGTAGCCTGTTGCTTTTACACTTTGTCCTTGTCTGTTTTTATTCACCAAGGGAAGGGGATAGTTCTTGAAGAGCATCCAAGTGGGCCTGAATTATTAATGACTAGGCTTTTTTTATTGCATGAGTAGGTTGAACTTTTTTCTAAGACCCTGCTTACTTCAAGCACTTACTTAATTCTTTGAAGCTGGGGTGTTGGTTTCTTGAACTGCATTGCATTCTTATTATCTTATGTTATTGATTAATATTGCAGTAGGATCTATAATTTTGTTCCTGGTAGACTCTGTGGTAGAGGTAATCTGAACCTGATCTGTGAATATACCTTCTCTGAATATCCCTTTACTATGTCTTTTCTCCCCAGAATTCTACATTTTGGCCTACCATTTCTTGTTTTTTTACTTCTCCAAAATAAACTCGGGTTTATTTTACTTCCTTCCCCAATGTGCTTCATCTAGGTCTGTTGACCAATATATATTACATCTTAAACCAAAAGTGCAGTGTTGTCTGGGTCTCATGGCCTCTAGCTGTATGAAGAACACTTCTACACATCTTATTATTTCCAGGAAAAATCCAAAATTTTTTTTAAGACTCTCCACTGATTTGCTCTAGCCTGATACACATACCTTGGGTGGGATCCAGGCTGCACTAGGAGCTTACACTGAATTTGTTGTGGAGACACTTGTACCATTTCTTTAGCAATTCTTGGAGCAGAACTACTCATACATAAAAATGCCAAGACTGAAGAACCAGCACCTCCAATATCAAGAAATCTGTATAGCATAGTGGTTTTTTTCTTCCTGTCATTTTGATAGGCAGATGACTGAAACTATCCAAGATAAAAAAATCAAATATAACATGAAAATATTGCAGCACTGGGATTTCATTTAAAGTGAAAAATTTGAAAAAATTCTTCTGAGTGCTCTTTACATTTGCTTTAGCTGTAAGTTTTGACTGTTTAGGGTATTAATGGTACATAATTTTAAAGTTGTGTAGAATGGTCGAAGCAGAAAATGGAGAAGTACTTTCCCAAGTCATTTAAAAAGTTAATCTTTGCAGTCAAGATTTGCTAAGTCTTGATTTAGGCAAGATGTCATGGGATTTGTTTGTAATCCCCCAAAATATTTATAAAGCCTAATTTTATATATATATGTGTATGAGTATTCTGTGAGTTATGAAGCTTAGTGAATCTACTGCCATTTGGGTTTGAGTCCCATGATCCCCATAATTTCCTTTTCATTCATTGTCTCACTTCTTACTATGTCCTCTGTCTCCTTGTGTCTCCTTCAGTTCCTCCAGTTTATGTCTACAGACTCCATCCCTTTCAAATATTATTTAGGTGAGAGGTGAGACATATTCAGTATGTGTAGGTTTCTACTGTTAAGATCCTGTAAGATACCACTTATCCTGAAGATTGTCTTCACATCAAATTTGGTATTTTCAGAGTTTCCTTTGACATGTGGCACATTTAACTAAAATACAGCAATGAATGAGCAAACACAAAACCTACAAATCATTCAGCCTTGTTTCTGGTGATGTGCTAGTTGTGTTTGTTATTTGTATTTAGAAACAGGTGCACTCAGAAAAACTTAGTATTGAAGGGAAAGACTGTTTCCTTCACAAAGTGGCTTAGTACTGTTCATTTGATAAGAAAAACTGTTGGCATATTTTCACAGAATGTGAATATGAGTTGCAGAGTCATGGTCTAGTTATTTCACAAAAGGTGATTTAATGGTAGTTGTAATAGGAGAGGAGGAGCAGAAAGGAGAGGGAAAGATATATGATAATATATGATATAAAAAATTGAGCACGTATTTAAAGATAGCTGAAGTCATGTAGAAATAATATTGAAATACCTAACCCTTAAGTTGAAATGGAATATAGTAATATGCTGTTCTCGCTGCTGTCACGCATCTACATTTTAATATCTGTGCTGCCTGAGATTGTGTATGACTGCTCTCAGGAGATGCACCTGATGATTGCATCTACTGCAGATGCTATATGAGGGGAAGAATTGCTGCTGCTTACATCCTTTATGCTTTTCTCAGTAGAAGGTACTACAAAGAGCTAGGTATTTTTTATTGCTTGTTTATATATATTTGCAATTTTTCTTTGTATTCTTTCAGCTCATGGAAAAAACTGACAGAGACTACTACACTCTGGATGACATGTTTGTTTCCAAAGCAGCCAAAAGAGCACGTAGTGGGGAAGAGGAAGAAATCCAAAGAAGAAAAGCAATACAGGAGCACCAGCAGCTTGCTGCACGCATGGAAAAGTGCCCATATTGTTTTGATAGCAGTGCACTTTCTAAACATCTTATTATTGCAATTGGCACCAAGGTAAGAAAATAGCAATTAACAAAATGTAGAAATAAAAAAGAAATTATGTTAGAGGGCTTTAAGAATGAAATTGCTTCTAGGGAATTATTTGTGGTTGTCTGTCTTATTTTCTTTGCCCTTCCAATTGCTTCCACAAATTTGTCAAGGGTGAGGAAGAAAAAGATATAAATCTCTTATGAATTTTAAAGCTAATCTTTGCTATCAGAACTTGTGGAAAACAGGAGCAATAATGAAAGATCTCAGTGCAGAGATTAGACTGTAGGTGGATTTGTGGAAGACTAAATCACACTTCACTAGAGGAAATTTGAACTGGTCAAGAATTGTATCTTGATATCAAAGAAAATTAAGTGCAGAATTCCATTTTTAAGCTTAAAATCCTTTGAAATAGACAGAAGTTTGGTTTGGAAACCTTCCTGTTTCTCTAAGTGCTTTAAAGAGTTGCATAAATATTTGTATTTATAACATCTGAAATGCCTCAGTATAGCCTTTTCTGTCATTTTTTTCTCCAAAGTTTCCATTTATTATTGATGTTTTTATTTGATTGGCAACTCTTTATAGACCAAGGAATTAAATGCATTGTGTTTTTTGTTTTTAGTAGAGAGTATAAATTCATACAGATCTGTGTGTATATGTGTGTATATAATCTGTGTTTATATATATGTTTATATATCTAATAGGTAGGTAAGTGTAGAGAGTGTCCTGGTTTTGCCTGGGATGGTTAGTTTTCTTCCCAATAGCTGGTACAGTGCTGCGGTTTGGATTTAGGATGAGTATAATATTGGTAACACACTAATGTTTTGAGTTGTTGTTAAGTAGTGGTCAGGGATTCTTCAACTTCTCATACTGTCCTGCCAGCGAGAAGGCTGGAGGGGCACAAGAAGTTGAGAGGGAACACAACTGGGACAGGTGACCAAAACTGACCAAAGGAATATTCTTTATCATATGACACCATGTTCAGTGTGTAAACTAGAGGGAAAGCTGGCCAGGGGCCACTGCTTGGAAAATGGCTGGGAATCGCTTGGTAGGTGGTGAGCAATTGCACTGTGCATCACTTGCTTTCTAGGTTATTGTTATTGTTGGTGTTATTTTGATTATGCAGTTTCCTGTCCTTTGAAACTGTCTTTATCTCAACCCAAAAATTTAAGGTTTTTTTCTGATTCTCTCCCCTGTCCTGCTGGGGGCAGGGAGTGAGTGAACAGTTAGGTGATGCAGCCAGGATAAACCATGACACAGAGTATGCATTTCACATATATATATATTAAATACTTTATTGAATATTTATCTATATTACAAATATTGGAATTGCCTAAACAGTGTACTTTCATAATAGTTATGATACCACTTGGTTTATAAAGCTGATATTACTGCCTTGTTGGTGGAACTACTGTTTGGATAATACTAATTCATTTGAGCTACTGATGGATAACGGGATCTTTCAAAAAACACTAGAATTACTAATACCTTGCTGTGATTAGTAGATAATGGCTTCTGTTGGTTTGAATTTAGCAAATGATGAATTTCTTAGCTTCACCAATGGAAGGTTTTTAACACTTGAAAAATGGGTACCTCAGTTTTTCTTTGCTTTTCGTAGGTGTACTTGTCTCTACCAAGCAACCAGTCCCTTACTGAAGGTCACTGCCTGATAGCCCCTCTACAGCACCATACTGCAGCCACTCTTTTGGATGAAGACATCTGGGAAGAAATCCAGGTCAGCTGAGAAACTGTCTCCTGTCTTCTGACAGTTCTGTAAAACAATTTTTTTTTTAATAATAATATACTTGTCATAAGTACCTATTTTCATAATTTGCAGTCTGGCAGCTATTCTCTGATTCCACTAAGGGGCAGAACGTTCTCACATTATGGATGAAAATTAGTGGTCAAATATTAAAAGAGAAGCAGGGTAAATACCGAGGAAAATTTCCCATTCATAAGCTTTAGAAGAAGTTTCTTGGAATGTTGCAAAACATGCATCGTTGGAGGTCTTTGAAAAGGAACATCTTTTGGGGATGAATTAGGTACAGCTAATTCCTGACAGAAAGTGGAATAACTGGCTTCACAGGATCTTCTTGGGAGTGCCAAGTAAAAGCAAGGATTGTCAGAGCAGGCAGATCACTTAAAATTAAATACAAGCTGAAAATATATTGTTTATGTATCATCAGTTTTTTAAGCTAATGTGGGGTTTGGGTGGATATCACTTGAAAGAGAACGATCTTACTCTTAAAATCAGTGTTCTTATCCAGTTTTCTACCTTCCTTGAAAAGAATTATTAGAATAAAGTGCCAAGCATGATGACCTGTGCTTTCCAATTGTCTTATGAAGACATTTTGAAGATTTGGAGTTCTGTTTTCTTTGGAGATGGAAAATCAAGGAAGGGATATAACAAGCTTCTGCCTAAGATATTCACAGTGGTTGTCAATCCCCCACTGCCTGCCATCAGGATTATTACAAGGGGAAAACAACTTGCAACCTCTTATATTGAAATATTGGAGACTATTTCAGACTAGAGAATAGCTTCATTGTTACAGTTGCTGAGATTTAAAACTGGCATGATTCATAAGTTTGAAATAGTTTAAGTAATGTTGATCTTACCTCAAGCCTGGCAGGTAGATTCTCTGACTTTCCAAATTTGCTCCCCACATTGATTCTCATGGCTGATTGTAATTTTTATACAGTTTTTCCTAGTAAATTATGCTCCCCTTCAACCCCCTCTTCAACCTAGAGGTAGGAAAAGGAGTTCTGTTGTGTATGACAGAAAGACCTAAGAAAGTTGGATAAGAAGCAAATAAATGCAAAAAAAAGGAGGAACAAAAGAGCACGGGGGAAGTGATAAATATGTTTATCCTAGAACTTCTCTTTATCCTAACCTCTTAACTAAATAATTATAATTTTTCTAAATTTGTATGAGAAGGAAAATAGAATAAATGCAGTTCCTGTATTTAACACTAGACTTTTACTTGCTAGAAAAGGCAACTAGTTGCTAAATTGTTATCCTTTGACCCTGTGAATGTATTCATAAACAGCTTAAACATTTCTTTAAAATAAAGTACTTTGGAAAGTGATGGACACAGATGAATTATTTTTTTTCCCCAGCTTCTATGTAATTCTGTAGGAGGAGTCTGGAAGGCTTTAGCAAAAGTATGAGCAGACAGTCAGTGACTAAATTTTCTGATGCCAAAATGTATTTCATATTGATGTTGAAGGGAAAAAATTATCACACTTCAAATATTCAAAAAATGTTGGATGGAGCACATGTTTTAGCTAACTATTTTTGCTGAGATTTTTTTTAAGATATGTTGGAGTAAAGCAAAAAAGGGTTCCTTTTACACTGTATGCCTTCAAGCACTTGAATTTAACATATTGTGTAGTTTAGACTGATGTGCTCACTTGCAAAGTAAATATGCATGTAATACTTTTAATATGAAAAGATATAAATCTTTACACGTTCTGTATTGACTGAACTGTTACATGCATTAATGGCATGTGCATCTGAGCATAAGTCAAGCCTTCTTATTTGCCCTTATGAATGGTTTTCTCCTTTCCAGTGCAAATTATCCTTGGTGGTTTGGCCTGCTCAGAATTTGGAGGAAAAATGCATTTAAAAACAAGAAAATGCAGTTGGGGAAATATTAGCTAACATCTGCTGATATTCTAGGCTTTTGGTGGATTTGTATTTCAGTTGATATTGCAGGGTAGCAACAGTAAGTGATAGTCTTTCTCAGCCTTTGGTTTAGTATGTCCCTTACCTCACCACAGTTGCTTGTCTCACTGTATTTCAGAAGGTCTGGGGGTCGGAGTGAAGAGAAAGCCACAAGCTATTAATTCAGAGTAGCCTGTTGCTCTGTGCTGTAAAGTTCCCTATCAACCATGGAACACTGGGCAGTATTTTTTAACTCTGTTTCGTCAGCTGTGTTAGGGGAATGATGGTAGTGTTTTCCTGTCACAGTATGGAGCAGCTCATTATTGAGGAAAGATTCAGGACACTAGGCTTGCTTTGAAGTGCTTAAATACCTAGTTAAGATATATATTTGACCAAATTTCTTAGCCTTTTAGTTTGATTCATACTGTGCAAGATGGCAAGAGAGCGGGGAGAAGAGAGCTCAATTTCTAGACCTGTTTCATTGAAAACCTGATAGTGATTTGTTTTCCCTCTGTTTTACTTCAATACATGCTGATGTTGGTGAATATAAGTTTTTGCTTAAGCTAGTTTGATTCATCAGCTCTCCATTTACATTAGGATAGGGATGGGATTAACCTTTAGATGGGATTAATCCTTTAGATGGGATTAACCTTTTAATGGTGTTGTTTGTATTTCTGAGAATTGTTAGTTGAAAAAGAAAACAGTGCAAAAGGGACAACCTATGAATTATGTGAGTCGTAGACCTATCGTACCTCTGGTCTACAAGGCTCCTACAGTTTCTGTGGTTTCTTGGCTTACACTGTGGAAATGGTATAAGGGAGCATGTATAATAAAAAAAATCTTCATCTTTAAAAGCAGTTTTCAAGATCTTGAGAAACTTTCAGAAACATTCACCCTGTCAGAAAGTCAGATCTTTTGTGCATTTGAAAATAAGTCTAAATGACTCTCAGAAATCATCCCTTGTGCTTTACAGTTTAGTTCAGCATCTACACTGTAAGCTACAGAATGATGCTCTTGCATATCTTGGATGCAAATACCAGCTGTCAAGAGTCCTGGAGCAGCAAAAGCGAGTTGCCTTCAGGAAGGCAAGTCAGGGGTGGATGACAGGCAAAGCAGGTGGGGAGGTCATCTCACTGACAAGGCACAGTCTCATGGTACCCAGGCCAAGAGAAGAAAGCAGTTCCCATGATGATAGACAGGGTCAGACATGGCCCAGGGGTGGCCAGACAAGTCTACAATGATGACTTAAGTTCAAGGGGAAGTCAGGGCCAAGAACTGCCAGGTATCTGGCTGGGCACAGCCATCTCTGAAACTTAGCTTAGGCAAGGAACAAAAGTGAGGACCTGAACTTAACTGCAGCTCCTGAATGATAGAGGCTAGGCCCACACTTCTCACCACATGCCAACATGCCAGATGTATTAAGTATTGCATTTGTTTTACTTACATACAGTGAAGATGTTGATTACAGCCATGGCTTTCTTTTGAGGCAGTGTTAATGTTTTACTTGAAGATCAAGCATGCCTAGTGAAAATATCTTCCTTTTTTTTTTTATATTAAACTGTATAATTGGAAAGAGTAGTGAAAGGATAATGGTAACTATAGTCAGTACAAGCCAAGACATCACCTTCTTAGAAATCACAAGCTTGGGACCTACTTTTAAAGCTGTGTTGTTTTATGGAGCGCTACAGTTATGAAGGTAACACAGTTTTAATTTATATTTGTGCCATAGGAAATATAGTTCATATTAAATTTCTGAATAATACAGAATTTTCCTTATATGATTGTTACAGTTTTCCATTTTATTGTGAGTTTATTACAAATATAATACATTAGTTAAATAATATAATGTGTCTGAAAGCTTTGAAAAGTTAATTTAAATTGCACATTTTTTTTTTCTTTAAACAGATGTTCCGAAATGCATTGGTGAAAATGTTTGAAGCTAAAGACTTGGACTGTGTGTTCCTAGAAACAAACATGAGTATGAAGAAACGGTATCATATGGTATATGAATGCATTCCTCTTCCAAAAGAAGTAGGAGATATGGCTCCAATCTACTTTAAGGTACACAAAAATGTTTTTTTTCTTAAGTCATTTGAATGTATGTATCATAAGTCACCTATTTCTGGAAAACATTTTTATATTCCAGTGCTATTTTTGAAAAGATGTGTTCTTTGATCCTACTTCTTGATCTATTCTTTGATCATATTCCTTGATCTTAAAACAAGCCCTGTGAGGTAATTCAGTTTTTCAAGTTGTCAGTGGAAGATCTGTATGTGACTGAGCACTTGTCGCAAGTCTGACTGCACTGACAAATACTGGAAGAAGGTGAGAGAATTGTAGTCTCTTGAATTGCTTTAAGGATTGCAATACTTCTCACTTAAGTCCTGTGGTATAAACTTAAAACACCATATATGTGCCTTGGCAAGCATAAAATGGGAAAATAATGTCAATTGTTTTAAGAAATACCAATGTATATATTGTTTAATCCCCATTTTATTTCAGTAAGTCCAAATTTTACATGTCTTAGGTCTCTGATGAATGTTAAGACAGCATGATAGATACTTCTATCGCCAGCTTTTCTGGTTTCTTTCCCCTGACCCTGTAAGAAAAGGTACATTGAAACTTTTGTCTGGAATTGAGGCCTTTCAGCAACTGGATCATGTTTCACCTTTTATCAGTAATTTCTTTATTTGTTCTTTGAAATATTAGTTTTACTTTCTGGAAATAATGTGATTGGTTTTTGATGAAGTGGAGCAGCAGTATGATGAACAACAATGCAGTAACTTTTACCACATCTGAAACTTTCCACCTGTTAGATATGACTACTATGCTTCAGGTTCTTGTAAAACTTGTGTTTTGTCTGAATACTCAAGGAAGGAGGGAGAACAAGATTTAATGCAATGTTGTTTGCCTAAAACTTGTCTTTCAGAAGTTTGTACCATGAAAATACACAGCAAATGTAATTGAAAAGACACCTACACTGCACAATACCCAGTTCTGTACTATGGAGAATACAGAGTCAGCTTTAAAGGTTTTTAAGGGCAGTCAGCCTTCTAAGCTGGATTCTCCTCTTAGTGTTTAAAAAAAACCAAAACAGGTTAATATAGTGTAATGAATTCATAAGAGGGTTTGTATGGGACGAATAAAAAGAGAATGAGACTTCGTAGTTGAAACTTGTTAGAGATGATTTGTGTAAAGCAAAAGTTAAATCTAAAAAAAAAAAGAAATAGAGGAAGTGAATAGAGTGAGTCTGAAGATACATGATGTCTTTGTAAAGTAAGTAAGTTGTGGAAGTCAGAAAAGTTACCAAAAATAAAGTTACTTTTTTAAGAAGTAATTGTTACTTGCTGTACAATGTACTTCACTACAGTTAGTTCTTTGCTTGCTGCATGTAGGACTGTTTTCACATTTAGATAAAATGATTTTACAGAAAGCTATAATGGAGTCTGATGAAGAGTGGTCTATGAACAAGAAGTTAATTGATCTTTCTTCAAAAGACATTCGGAAATCTGTAAGTAATGAAATGTATTAAACACTGAATTTCTCAGCAAATTCTTCTCATTTTTTTTCATTACTAACTGTTTCAAAGAGAGAAGAAAGGGAACACAATTGGATTAGTGCATGAGAAGATGGCATAGGTATGGTGAGAATTAACAGTCTGACTGAACTCCTAACTGACATTAGGGAAAAGATTCTCATTTATTTCAACAGTTGATGGACTGAGCTGCAAGCATTTGTTGAGAACAAAGCTGACACTTTGAGGACGTGTACCAGCACATTTCTAGATTAACTTTAAGAATTAAGGTAGATCAAAGATTTGCAAATTACTTTCCTGGAGAAATTATGATATTTCTTTTTCATTGACCTACAACAACCATTTGCGTTGCTAAGTTTGTGAAGTGAAAATATAAATAGCATTATGTTTCTTTCTTTCTAAAACAAGGGAACAGTGCTCTTTCGGTCTCCTGGATACTGAGCTGAAACCTCTTTGTATAAACAAATCTTAAAGGAGCAATGCTGGATCTGTTAGATTCAAAGATTGTTCCATCTTTTTAATATTGAAGTGGAAGATGTGTGTTATATAGACTTTACCACAAGTAGTTTACTACTATGTAGTAATAACACTCAATTTTTAATAGTGTCTTTTGGTAAATATCGCACCTTTTCACTAAAAGATCATAGTTTAGGAGAAAGAGGAGATGAGTTTTAACAACAAGACATGAAGCCACATACTACAAAAAGGGAGATGGAGTGCAGATGGGCAAGGGATGCAATTAATTTGCAGCAAGGGTTTAGGAAAGACTATAAACTTAAGGTGGATGTAAACAGAAGACAAAATAAGTATGTTTGGGATTTCTTCTGCTCATTGTTGTTTCAGAATAGGAAAAACCAACAGTATAATTTTCTTGACACATTGTAAGGCATTAGGACACCAGAGTTCTTGAAGAATCTTCCTAGCCATACATTTTTGTGACTATTATATGCTCATTTGAAGGTACGCCAGTTTTCAGATTAAGTCAAGACAGTTCTTTAAATTAATACAATGTGTCTGAGTGTAAATTGTTACACAGTTGTGAGATTTTAATATTATTTTAGGGTAATGGAAATTCAGAAAGATTGGAGAGTATAGCTTAGAGACAGAGCTGAGGTTTGGGAAGTTGGAGAGTCATATTGAGAGAGGGTGGTACCTGGAAGGAGGGTCAGACACGGCTGAGACATCACCTAATGGGTGGATTGTGTGCCAAACTTGTGTCCAGAGGTAGAGCTGGAGCATCCAGCCCTTGCACAGCATCAAGGCCTTCTCTTCTTCTCCTTCTGCTCCTTGCAGCAAGGGTGCTGGGGGTAGCAGTGGGCTGGGAGGGTACACAACCAGGAGAGTTGACCCAGCAGTCAGCACTGTTCAGCAATAGCCAAAACACTGGCATGCTGTCAACACTGGTTTAGGCACCAGTCTGAAACTCAGCACTATATGGGCTGCTTTGATGCAGATTCACTCCATCCCAGTCAGACCTGATGCTTTGCTGGACACAAGTGAGATAAAGCTGACCTTTTTCTTAAGGTGTCACCTGCCAACCCATTTTTCCTTATTTAATAATTTTTTTTAGTCCATTTAAAATGTTTTATGTTTCTTGCTATGCTACATTGCTCCTCTGTATTAAATCTTAATTATTTTTAGAGTCAATTTTTAAGCAATATATGGAACATGCCTCATGAAAATTGTGTAGCTATTTGGATTGTAGCAGAGAAAATGCTTATGAATTGGAGGCTTTGTAAATCTTATCAGTACAGGGACATCCTCAACAATTAAAAGAGTGGAAAATAAGTTATTGCAGTGAAACAGCAAAAATTACTTGCAATACTGTAGCAATAAATGGATCCACTTCTCTCTGTCAGGCTGAAAGGTCTATGTTGTGGCAGGATATCCAGCTTCTTCTCTGTAGTCTGACTGAATTACTAACTTACCTGATTTGGCAAGTTATTGATAACTTCCAGTCATGTAGAGGGGGTTTCTCGTAATGTATTTTCCATAAAGGTGTTTCCCTTTCTCCCTGAGTGTCAGTGTTTTCACTGGGTAAATATTTGCTGTTACCACTCAACACCTTACCTTTGATAAATGCAACTTGCTAGTGGTTTTCTTAAAGTTTCTGCTAAACCCATGTACTTCAGAGATGTGAAGTCAGGAAGGCATTTGCTCAGTGTGCCCACTGCTGCCTGGTCCATCCCCAGTGTCTTGCCTGGTGCAGCACAGTGGCCTCTGAAGGTTCTGCCACCCAGTAGTCATCTCTTCTGTGTCTTTTTATCTAGTTGCTGTGTGTTCTTCTTTCCCCTTACCTGTTGGCTTTACTGTTTCTCTCTTGCATTTTTATGCTGCATGTAGTTGGTTTGAGAGGTGGTTTAAAATAAAATGTTATAATATCAACTGCAAAACCGTGTTGAAATTCATTCAGTTGTGGGGAGGTTGACTAAATGCCAACACTTTGTTAAACATCTGAAAATGTGGTTTTGCACATACAGGTTCCTAAAGGATTACCATATTTTTCTGTGGACTTTGGCCTTCAAGGAGGATTTGCTCATGTGATTGAAGATCAACACAATTTCCCTCATTACTTTGGGAAGGTATTGTTACGTAAAAGATTAATTTACCAATTATACTTTGTTTTGGAGAATTTAAGTAATTAAAACAAATGCTGTCAGAACAGTTACTTTGATATACCCTATTGTCTATCTTTTCTTGATGAGTCATTGTAACTTGGCTTGTTGAATAAAGGATCAGTTGATTTTTTCATTAGCTGATACGCAGATTGTGGTTCTAGAATTGTGTTTCTTTTGAATTAGTAGGAAGTGTTAATATTTGACATTTTAGATATTTAATCTTACAGGTGGAAAATACTTGCATCTATTTAAGAGTTTTCATGGCCATAGTATTGACATATAGGTGCACTGATTCCTACTTGTATAAATTAGGATGCATACACATACAGACTCACAGACAACTCCCATGAAAATCCTCATGTGGTTAGATTACTCCCCATGGTAACACAGTGTACTGTTTATACAGGAAGAGCTGTACTATGGGAAGAGTCAGTGTGACAAAAACACTAAGAGTGACTGGGGAGAAATATAACACCAGAAACAGCAAAGTGGGCAACTTTCTTTTTCTGAGCTTACCTTAGTCACAAAGGTACTGATACATTAACAATCTTGCAATGTTAGGATGTTTAAGCAGTACATCGATATGCTGTGCTTAAAAGAATTTTGCTGGGGCAGCCATCTAACAGCTGCAGTTCTGTTTTTTAAATTGTCTTATTTTTTAAATTGGTATATTTTTCAGAATTTCAAGTTTTAATTAGCACTTTAAGAAAACTGACAATCTCGTAATTTGAAAATACATATTTCTTTATTTTATTGTAAAATAGCGTTAATTAATATGGTAATTTTGCATTTACCATTATCTGTCTTTCTTCTACTCGCAAAGGAAATTATTGGTGGCATGCTGGACTTGGAACCGCGGCTCTGGAGAAAAGGAATCAGACAGAACTTTGAAGAACAGAGGAAGAAGGTGTTGCAGTTCGCACAGTGGTGGAAACCATATGACTTTACCAAAAAGAAAGAATGAGAACAACCCTGCAGTCAAGAACTATATAAGCCATAAATTACCTTAATGGATACTTCGTATGTTAAGAATAACATCAATGTGTTGTGTATTGCTAATATATTTTAAAACATAGGATAATGTTTAATTGCTGATTATCTGTTTCTGGTTTGGACACTGTGGATCACATGAACCTGCAAGCCTGACAAACCAGAATTGTACAGTGGATTTAGTTTTTCCTTTTTCAGCTGAGACACAAGAATAATATCCTTGTGGCCATTGGAGTTCTTAAAAATGTAACTTTTACTTTTGGAGTTTTTACAATCTTTGAGACAACTGATATTTTTTTATATTGTATTTAGCCAGTGCTGAATTATCATGGTGACCTTCTGTAGAAAATGGTGTACATTTTAAGAACATTTTGATTAAAACAAATACATTGTTGTGGAAGAAAACTGTACACAAAATGATTTTCTGATTCTGAGTCCTTGTGGTCTTTAAGTTGCAGTCATTGCAGTATCATAAACATTCACAAAGGATGTGATTGATAAACCTGGTGCTGCCTCCCTGCACAAGAATTATGGCAATTTTTTGTACGTTCTTTCAAGCACAAAGGATGATGAGACAGTCCATAGCTGGTGACAAATGACAACTTTAATGGTAACAGTTACTTTTGATAACAATTAAAAAAACCAAAAAACAAATGAGAAGGGTGGAAGAATCTTAAGGGAAAACACTCTGCACTGACCAGCAAAGAAAACCATCATAGGGATCGTCCCAGGTGACTCTTCTTTCCCTAGGCATCCCATCTAGTGCTACAGATGGTTTGCAATAGTAGTTTGCCATAGTAGTTTTCATCAGGACCTGCTTAAACTCCCTGCTGGTTTTCCTACTTGTGATGCTGTTAGTGCTGATTGGAGCACACTCTGATGAGAGGCAAGAGTTGCACTTTAATTGATTGTTAAGCATGGATGTCACTAGGAAATGCCTGTCTACTAGTTAAAGGACCACTGTCCACCGTTTTATTTGCTGGGTTTTGTTTTTTCTTTTGCGTAAACGTTATGAAATGGGGTAGGGAAGTGTGAGGGGGAAGAAGAATGATTCTTGCATGACTGTCCACCATTTTCCATGGGAACCCTGACATAGCACACTTGGGCTTTGCAGGTGCAGAGTTGGGAGAACAAAGAGAACAGGAGACAAGGACAGAAGGCCATGGATAGAAACATTGCCACAGTGTCCTCCCAGTGCACCAGGGAAAGGGTGCAGACTTGTGAACAAAAGGCTGCAGTGCTGTGGGGAAAGACTTCAACCAGCAGGTGGAAGGCCCTTGGCATAGGAGAGCTTAAAGCATTGTGCAAGTGTCTCAACGTGCTTCCTATTCTTTTCCTACTGAACTATTGCTCTCTACAGCTCTCTTAACTATTGTGAGATGGTGAGCTGCTCAGATTAATAAATGAATCACTAACTGTTAAAGGGTTGAATAAGTGTTCATTTCTAGTGGTCTTTTGCAGCTTTCCTGAAGAGCTTGTACTTGCCCTGTTCCCTCACCTGCCACCGCATTTTGGCAAGTAAGTCTGGTAGAGATAGAAATCTGCTGTGTTGTGAATTATTTTCTGGAGGATCTTTGTAAATTGGTGTCAACTGCAAGAAAAATAACTTAAAAATAAGCTTTCATGATAATTTTAGTGATTTAATGTTTATTTATATTGTGTCCACCAGGAACCCATGGACAAAAGGGACAGTTCTAACTGTTCTCCAGTAAGTTTTGATCTTCCTTAGGCTACTGGGGAGATTGCATAGTAAATAGGATATGAAATAGCAGCTGCTGGTAGTTGCTTAGAATGTGATAATGCTGAACCAGTCTTTGGTTGTGTAAAGCATGACTAAAAATAGTTTTCTCTGAAAGTGTATATTGCCTTCAGTCTCATCTGCCCCCCAGGAGGATAGCTGGAAAAAGCAGAGGTGACTGTTTTTAAGGCCACGGAGAAGTCTTTATCCAATGCTGTGCTGGAAATGCAATTTTTCTAACTGATATTACTTCTCTGAGAATTCGTGTTCCTCAAGGGAAGCACTGTGTTTCACAAAGGATATCTGACTTGTACGTAGGAAAGTCCTCTGACTCATAGTCTGTGCATATTATTCTGGTTTCAGCAAAACTACAGGTTTTCTTTGGACAGAAAGGACTCTGAAATACGGAATAAGGGTAACTCAAGCTAGTGATATGGGAAAACGTTTTTTACCCTATTAGAAGTTTTCGGAATGAGAGAATGTGCTTACCACATACACTGAGAATAGTATCTTCTTGTAATTGGTCACAGACCAAACATGCATATTTTTAGGGTAAGCTGTTCTTCTTCATAATTATCTCTAAATATTCATGAGGCCATGACAGTCAACACAGCTTGTTAGGGCATTTGTGGAAGGCCTGGTATGCTTAGACTTCAGTCCTTACTCTTATAAATATTAAAATATTTTAAATAAATCTCCTTCATCCAGAAGAACACTCACTACCTAAATTCTTTGGCACTAAGAGGTGGAAAATGTAAATTCAGGTGTCTTCAGGGAGAACAGGGATTGGAAGCTGGATTTCTTACATTGTTGTAAACATGCATCCATGTACTCTTTTGTGTAATCAGGGAGGAAAAGGATCTTCTCCCTTCAAGCAAATCTGTGTGTGTGATTTAACAGGTGTTAGAACATATCTGTATCCTGCCCTGTCTTACAGGGACATCATGTAATATGTGCTGCTACTCTTCTGCATAGTGCCTGGCATAAAATGCAATGTATCAAGTCAGCTTTTTCCAACTCTGAGGACTCCGCTCCTTTGCATTCCCTGGCTATGCTGAAGGAATTGTGTCCTTTCACTTTCATTCCAGGTCTTTCAGCAGTTTCAGGGAAGGGTGCTGCACCAGCACAGTGCTATTACTGCTGTTTGGTCAAGCACTGATTGGGGCCTGAGCAGGAACTGACACTCCAGAGTCTTTATTCAATTATGTTTGCCACAAAATTCTCTAAGAGAGAACTAGAATGGATGCTGTAATTAGGCAGATCTCCCTCAAGCCTTGATACCCTGAGGATTTGCTGCCTAGTCTGTCTTGGGGTAAAAGAGCTAAACAGGCTCCATTGAGATGTTCACTTTGTTTGCTTTTTCTCAGGCTGTGCTGTTCAACCTGGGTACTGCCCAGGCCCATGTAGTTGTAGAAATGTTGCCTGAAGCACGTGTCTTCTTGTTCAGGAGCCACATTTGGACGTTATTATTTTTGCTCAAATTGAAGGAAGGCACTGTGAATTTGTACCGCACCATTAGCTACAAAATGAAGTGCAAAAGCTGCCGTGGTGTCATTATTCTTATCCATAGCCAGTGTTGCTTGATGTCAGTGTGATTGCCTGAAGTCATCTGTGGATGTAAACTGAAGTAATGAAAAATGAGATTGTTGTAAGCTAGGTGAACTCAGTGGAACTAAAGTGGAAAGCAAGACCTTCTGCTGATTATTAGTGTTTTTCCAAGTAGGTAGTTATCATTTAAGCCCATATTCCACTTGCTTTTCACTTCTCCTTATGTGTTTCCTTTTGGAGTAAGGCTGTGAGATGCTGTGTTTAGTGCAGTTTTAGTGTAACAGTGGTGGATTGTTGCTTTGTACGTGTTAAAAGACCTGGAAGAGAACAACGTAGATTTTTGTTGCTTTGGTAGAAAAACAATATAGCAACATTCAATCTTAGGTCTGTTTGGGCTGATTTTTTTTTCGTTTCAGTTGGTTCATGAACCCAAAGAGTGGGTTATTCTCAGAGTCATAATCAAATGTGAGTTAGTGAGATTTTACATACTGAATTCAACTAACTTGTTTTAAATTTCATATGAGTTCTGAATGGAAAACAACATGTTAAAATTAATAGTAACTCTCATGGCAGAAGTTCATCAATCTCTTGAAATCTATGAAAGAAGAAAAATTTTGATGAGTCCCTTGAGAATTCTGTCTTTGGTTGAAATTTCTTGAGCATTTCCTGTTTTCTGCATTTGTCTTTTTATCATTGCAGCATGTTTTCTCTTCCTAATCCCAACTGGACTGTGGATGAAAATTCATACAGGGGCTGCTATACTCTTACTTAAAGTGTAGCTGTTTTTGAAACAAGATCCTTAATATCCTATCTAAAAGTGCCATTTTCAGTTCTCACAAATCAAGACAAGCTAATCCAATCAGAAGAAACAGACATTAGACATCCAGTCTTGCAAACATCATAATTCTCATGTGCACACTGATGTATCTGTATGGTAATGTTACTTTTCTAGATGTTGCACTTGTTTATATTGTTAAAAGTGAGAAGGGAAGATAACATACTTCAAGGAAGTTATGCTGCTACACCCTTTACAGGGAAGTTGGTGTAAATTTTACCCCCCAAGTTAAGAACCACTGGAAGTTAGTTCTAAATGAATATTTAAGATTTTCTTGGGATCCGGATTTCGAAACTAATAATAGAATCCCGGGATTGTCCCAGGGAAATCTTTGGCAAAGAGTTATCTGTCATTGTCAAAGTTGATGCATTTGACATGCTATCCTGCTTGGTGATTAATCTTGCACAACTGCCCTGCTATCTCTGTTTATTCTGAGACTTATAAAAATCGGTGAAGTACTAGAACTATATTTTAAAAGGAATGCAAAGGAATGCATAATTGCAGGACATCTTTACCTACAAGCATCTTTACCATCCCTGGTGTCTTGGCTCCTATGTATGACCTAAGCACTATACACAGAGAGCCCAGAGGCACATCATGCAACACAAAAGGAGTGTGTTGGTTACATTAGAGAAAGCAGAGTCTGAGCTCGTGATGTGTGAGTAGTTGTAAAAAGTTCATTTCTTGATGCCCAAGCTTCATGTACCCTTGTACATGTGGTCTGAGGACAGCTGGCAGTCTGAAATGGCTCTGATGAGCCTGCTTTAAGTTCTATATTAGAACTGAAAATGCATCAATTCATTATTTTTAAATGTCTAGCTTTTGTAAAGCGAGTACTATAGAGCATACATGCAGTAAAACCAATTTTAGCAAAAACCCGCAAGCGTAATTAACCTTTTAGAATAAAGTTGAAGGCATTCTTCATGAACCACTGTCTTTGAGGGTAATATTTTTATTATTCTTTGTTTTGTGATTTCTGGCCGTTGATGCACAACTCTTGGTCACCCACCAGCCTGGAATGAGAGATAGGTACAGTTTGGTTTTTGGATCAGGCAAGATGACTTTTCAAAGTCTCTCCCAGCTTTTTCTGCTGTGATTTTAAGATCTTATTTAATTCTGATATTTTATGTGAAAATGTCTTGGACCAGCAACTGTAAGACAAGATATGAGCAGCTAACAACTGGTAAGTATTTAATGGGGCAAAAATACATAGTTACCACTGTACAGCTTCCCCATTACTGTTGTCACAGGTTTGCAGGGCTTCAATTGGGAATGCCAGCAGATCTCTGATGTCTCTCTCCAGGTTTGTGTTGTACAGTTGTTTGAAAGCATTTCAGTTCTTCCAGCTCTTCCAGTGTTCTGCCTTTTAGTGCAGAACAAC